GCCCACAAGCACCCGCATTTCTAAACGGCAATATGAAGCCCCGACGGGCTTTGAGCCAGCGTGTTCTTCCTCCAGAGAACTTGCCAGATACAACTGCAGATGATATTGACATCGAGGAAGATGGATTTATTGGGTTCGAGGAAGAAATTGAAATAGATCGCGATGCGATACTCGGCCCAGGAGACTCTGAGTATTTGTGGATGCCTCTTTCGCCTGATCTTCCAGTTCTTGACAAACGCCTTCCAACGCAAATGGCTGCATGGGAGGGTAATGTGGATAGATACGCTCGATTCATGCACCCACGGAGGCTCAGAACAGAAATTGAATACAATTGTATTCTTCGTGGGATTTATCACCATACAAGTTTTGCCCGATGGTGGGCCTATCAGCTGGAAACCAACCCTGGGCGAATCATTCTCCCAGGTAAATTGCTCAGCGAAGGCAATGAGCGCGAGCGTCGCGAGATTCGTACTGCGATAAATGCTCGCAAAATCATGAACAATGATATCTCTGACCTTGACGATGACTCTGACTGTCTCCCTTGGCTTATCTGGTGGCCGGTGCGGCCTCATGAGAACACTTTGCGTGAGCTGGCTGGCAAGTGCCCTTCCATGAGACCGCAAATTGCGATCACCTCCATACTTTGTGACTACCAATCGCTTTTCATGGCGTTGAATCCCCCTCCACGTGAGTCCTATTTCGAGGCTGCCAAACAGAGCAGAAACCCTTACTACTTGCAATATCTGGGGGACTTTGTCAGGGAGCGTTCAATTGGAAGCGGAAAAATCTCAGAGTTCGACCCTTATGATACCACCAAGAAAATAAGTTTGGAGCCTGATTTGGAGCCCAGGTACTTTTTGACCCATTCGTCTGTCAAATTTTCTGATATGGCTGTTCCTTGGGGGCAGCATCCCAGAGGCGAATGGGACTCCCCTGGTATCTATGGCGGTCTGCCGGTCGACCCGGGAATTGTGGAGAGATACATGTGGCTGTCAACTGAGACTGCGCAGAAGATTCAAGATGAGTACAGGGCATACAGTGGAATCTACGGTGATAGCGTGGATACTGGCTACTTGTATATTGATGATGATGATCCGGATAATGAGCTTTGGCTGAAGCTCTCACGTCCTCTCAGGCCTATGACATCGTTTGAGATGAAAACCTCGGACGTAAGCTAATTGTTTTGCATCAATTGATTTTCTCAAACATTTGCCGGCCTTCCAACTTCTCCTTTCGGTCCCTCGAATCATAGTCAATTACAAGAACAAGTTGGGCCAGACTCCCCTTCATCATGCGATAGAGTACGGGGTTTTGTGGCAGTTCAGATGTTTTTCAGAATTCCTTCGCAGCCGGGGCTGTGTATGGGGCTATGTATGGGGCTGGACAAGTTTGAGAGAATGATTGAAGTTCATTGTGCGGTGAACGAAAACCGGCATGAGAGCTAAGGGTGGAAGACTGGCCCTTCGTCTTAATGGCTGCTATCATAATGGCGTTTGCAAAGGGCAGGATTTTACGAAGTTCGTCCAGTGCGACTCTGCAAGGGCAGTTGAGCGCGCCGAAAGGCTGCTGGTAAGGCTAGGCCACTGAGCAAGAAAAAGCTTTGCCAATGAGACCGCGGAGAAGAGGCATCCTCGCTGCACGGCGGCTTTTAAATGGCCTTCAAAGTAGTCGAATTTTACTGTACTCACTTAGATCATATATCCAGGGCTTATTTCAAGCCACGTGGTGTTCCAACAGTACTAGATATGGAAGCATCTATCACAAAACGTATCCGTAGATCCCGGGAGCATGTCAGGGATATATACATGAAGCATACAGGACGGATGGAGATATGATCTGCGGGACCTACATGGTGTATATGGGTTCCCCTGAACGCGAGGAAGCTTCCTTTCTTCGCTTCCTCGCGCTATATCTTGTATCTAGAATAGACAATAGCTTCCTCAATATTGATCATTCAACTGCGCATACGTGAGATCCTCACAGAGTAGCGCGCAATTCCCAGGAGCAGCGTGACGTGATCCTGGGAGCAAAAGGTCAAGCTCCTCGGAGTGACTACACTCCCAGGAGCGCCTACAGTCGCTCCCGGGAACTGTATGATACATGCCTGGGAGAGTGTCAGGGATGCGGTTGCTTGGGTTTCACCACTAGGCTAACAGGCCAAAAAGGCACAATGTTTGGTCAGCGACATCATCACATGCGATATTCATCCCGGCAGGTTGTGCTCATGCCACATTCACTCTGCAGGGTGGCTATTTAGTTACCAAGGATTTTACGACTACAAAGTCCCTGAATGCGATTGCAAGCTTCATCATATATGGACTCGATGAAACTTTGCCCACAGAGGCTCGAGAAGTTTGCTTTGATTGGTTGGAACGCTGTTTAGATGTAACCTTTGCCCAACAGCAGGTGACTACCGCGCTCTCTGCATGGTAGAAGGCGGAAACAAAGTTGGCGGTTTGGGTGTCTGCCCTCGAAGGTGGCGAGTTAACGTTAGGCGCTTGTAGGAGCGTTACTGCCAGGACTTAGCCGCCAACTGCCCGTGTGGTCTCCAAGAGGCAACTTCATCTTTCTTCCAGCATTTCTCTTCCGCTCACATGGGTTCCTTGCTTTCGTCGTGTCAGCTACGACGTCGTCGGTGATAGGAAAACGTAGCCGTGACTCGGCGAGGATTAGCGCACAATCTTTCAAACATGTACTGTATTTGTCTCTGTCTAGGTTGTGTGTCCAAGGCATTCCCAACAGCCGGGGCAGCGGTGGTTTTGTAGAATGTTCGTCGGGACAAATGACTGATCATGTCTTGTATAGATCAGGAACGATCTGTCTTCATGAATGAGCCAGCTCATTCATGGCGGCAACCGCTGCTCCAGTCAAAAGTGAGAGCTCGCTTCGACAAAAGTCAATTGTCAAGAGCTTCAATCGCATGGATCATGGTCGAAGAAAGGTATGTATAAGTAGGTGCTCAGTCATCGTTGCGTGCCCGGTTCATGACTTTCTCACACGCTGTCCGAACCTCAGCAACCCCCTTGACCTCACCCCAAGCGTCGAGTAAATGCTGGATCTCTTTCCAGTCCTTCTGCGCATCCTCCTGTTTACCCTCCGCCACAAGCTTCTCTAATCTCTGCGGTGAAGAAAGCACCCACCGAACAGTATCCTTCTCACTCTTCTTGCTCGAAGTCCCATCTTCCAGCTTGGCTTCCTTCATTAGCCGCCGTTGCTCCTCGCCTTCTTTAATAAGCCCACTGGCAGTCTCAGCAACAAAAGCAATAGCCGGACCCAGCGTTTTCGTCATAGTCAACGGCGCACCGCGATCATCCATACTGCGCCGCATTTTCCCAATTGTCTCCACAGCGCGAATCAACTTCGAGTAGTTATCGTAGACCAGCGCTTTCCGCTCGCCGTCGAGAGTGCGGATATCCCCAACCAACGTATTCTCCGCCTTGAGCACCGTAGACAGCGACGATGATGACAAGAGATGCTCGACATATCGCTGCGGGTCGAAGTTTGCACTGTCGAGCTCCGTCCCTGACGCTAGACTGGCTGGGTCGGATATGTCTCCTGCTTCACTCCGCGTGCGAGATGCGTCCCGGGAGGCAGATGTGCCCGCCCCTGGTGGCTTGAGATTGTAATAGTCTCGCAAGGCACTTCGATTGCGTCGGGGATGGAGTGAGGGGGAAATAGCTCGTGCAGTGGATGGGGTAGATGCGGCGCTGAGCCCCCCGCTGACGCTGGTGTTCAAGGCATCGAGTGATGGGCGGGAGGAGGCTGGACCCGGGGAAAGGGCTCTAGAGGAGGCGAGGGATTGGCGCGGAGATGATATAGTCGACATTGCGGTGTCTCGTGAGGTGTGTCGGAGTTGTCGGAGGCAAGAGAGTCGGGCCAGGTCAATTGCTTTAAGCGGTGGTCTGTGCTTTCTTTTCGCGTTGAGAGCTTCCCCGACTTCGATGGTTCCCTTAGATTTACCATACGCGCCAATATGATCCTGAGGGTGTCCAATACATCATGACTAGTCCTGATCAAATTGCAGCTCAGATACTGAGCACCAAATCCCTCTCAGTCGCCCAACCCTGGCTCAGTGCCTTCCTATCATCGTCCAGCACAGCGCAACGCAATATCCCCGCATCCGCCCTCACAAAGACGGCTATATTCCGTCTCCTCGCCTCTGATATCAGAGAATCACTCTCCAAGCACAGATCATGCGTACTCCCAGTCGATATTCACGACCCGGCGGTCCAAGAGCGACGGCTGCAAGGCTCAATCCCCGTGCAAGTGCTAGACATCGAAGACATCGGCACGAGTCTATGGAGCCAGATCGAAGCAATTGAACGCGTTGAGCGGGGCGAAGCGATCCGCGGCCGTGAGATCGTGCGCACAATCGCTGTAGGCGAGGATCCCGAGGCGTCGGAGAATAATCGCGCGAATAACAATCCTGCGAACGGTGCTGCGACTGCATCCGGGAACAGTGGGTATGGGCCGCACCGCCTGATTCTTCAGGATGCGGCGGGAACTATGGCGGTGGGTGTTGAAATGCACCGTATCGATGGCATAGCATTGGAGAAACTTGCTATTGGGGCGAAGCTCTTGCTTCGTAATCCGTCTGTCGCGAGAGGTATGGTGTTGCTTTCCCCGGGGTCTGTTACTCTGCTCGGGGGGAAGATCGAGGCTTTGGATAAACCGTGGAGGGAGGGTAGGAAGGCTAGGTTGCTGGAGAAGACCGCAGGCGTCGAAGGGGAATGAGGAAACACGAGTCATCGTGGGCTCAACCGGCTGAACAGATGGCGGAGTGTGCTTCTTCTACTTCGCACTTATTATTAAGGTATGGACTTTGCATTTCTCTTAGTCTATTGTGGATATATTTCTTATGAATTTGATGTTGTGATGTTCATTCGCTAAAAGCTGATGTACATTTCAACTAAATACACTGTGCATCAAGTTCATTTAGCCCTAGCGCCTGTACGGCGCTTGTTGTTGTGGAGTGGCAGGGTAGTCAACTCGTCGTCCGACTACTCAGGTCCATGGCCTGTGCGGCGCTTCCATGGCAGGAGAGGTTTGTCGTCGTCCGATTCCTCTGATTTATGGCCCGTACAGCGTGTCCACATGTTCCGGGTAGGCACATTGTGGCTCAGTTCCTCCCATCCATTGCGTTTCCACGGGGCAATCATGATCGCTCGGAAGGCGTCACCGACCTTGCCGGTTTGCGAGTAGGCTTGACTGAGGTCCTCAGCCCCGAGATTACCGTAAGGAGGCACGCTCCGCAGAGCGCGTTTGATAGTCATGGCGGCTGCGTACGGGTTTCGCGATGCTGCCGACAACTCCATCCACCCGGCAGGTTGGCCCGGTGTAAGCATCACGGCAGCAGTGGCATCACCAATGCGCCTGATGCTTTCGGGAACGGCTGCATTATCGTTGAGTCCCGTTGCTGAGATGGCACTCAGGAGTTTGATGATTTTAGCTCGGTCGTGGAGATCGATGTCATCACGCGAGATCATGCTGTTAAGGTCTGATTCAACTGCTTCAATAGCGTCCCGGTCCGCATCGAGGAGAGCGATGGCACCCAAAAGGGTGACTGCTCCGATGTGAGTAGGGTGGTTCATCACACAGTCAAGCAGTTGCTCCCGAGCAACAGACCGGTTTTCCTCACCACCCTTGGCCCACAGGACCTGGGCAAGAAGACAGACAACATCTGGAGCATTGTCTGCCTCTTCGAGGGCATCGCGGAACATATCGATGGCTTGGTCCATAGACTTCAGGTTGTAATATGCTAGACCAGCTGTCAGATGCGCAGACAGACGAAGCTTCTTGCAGGCTTCGGGATCGAATTTCTCCGCGTCTTCCTCCCCAGAGAGGGTAAGCGCGAGCTCGGCCTTCTCTGCTGCCTTTTCATATGAATGGCGTGCAAGGAGGACACGAGCCATATCTGCGTTTGCTTGGGAATACCTCGAAAGGGAAGCTGGGGACTCTGTCTTTTCAAACTCGTCTTCCATGCCTGCACAGACAACCTCCAGGCTAGACTCGGCATCTGCGGTCTCGCCCATTCTCTCTGCCAACAGAGCAGAAAGGTGCACAAACGGCAGGTTTGACGGATCCTGGATGCAGAGTTGGTGCAGTGCGAAGAATGGCTGAATGAGTTCGGACACATTAGATGAAGAGGCCGCATTCAGATGATCAAAGTGGGTCAGACTGAACTGGCGTTTAGTGAGAATATCGGATGAGTTTGAGATGTCAAAGGCATGCTCGAAGTAACCCCTCGCCTCCTGTGTCTCGCGAACAATAAGTGATACGAAGCCTTGGCCGACCCAAGCCAATGAATAGTCTGGGTCGGTGGCCTGCGCTCGCAAGAACGTCTTGTATGATTGGTGGCCTTCTTCGTGGAGGAGGTATAGTGCTCCGAGGTTTGTCCAAACTTGCGCGTTGCGTTCATTCAAATGCAAACTTCGCACAAATGCATGTTGGGAGACTTTGGGACTCATGCTTGCAGTGACAACACCCAATGCGTTCCAGAAATCGGAATTGCTCGCCTCCAATTCGATTGCTCTCTTGAAGCACCGCATGGCTGCTTTCAGGAACTTGCGAGACTTCTTACCTTTCTTGGTTGGATCCGGCTGCACAGTGCGATAGGCCAAATATTCAGCCCAACCAAGGTTGTACCAGGCAACTGCTTGAGAATGAGCATCATGCGCAGAAATATGCAGCGCACGTTTAAATGCGATTATGGATAAGTGAACGTAGAATTCAGCTGGCATCGACTCTTCGCTTTCATTGGCTGCGAGCCAATCAGTTCCGACACCATCAACATCGGTCATGACATCAAGGGCCATAGGGTCCAGATCGACTGCCAGTAAAGCCTTGCAGCTGGGAGCAGATAGCTTTCCAGCCTTAGCTTTCATGTATGAGAAGTTGGAGAAGGCATCGCCTACAGCCTTCCAAAAGTTGAAAATGTCGCTTTTAATCTGCACCAGGGAGGTGGCCACCGAAATAGATTGGTATGCGAGCTCCGCTGCATCATTGAAGAGACCTAGGCCAAGGCTCTTCGTCGAACTCTCGGTCAAGGTCTGAAGAAGTGCGAGAGTCACACCAATGTCACCAGGCCGAGATTTCAGGACATCTTCGTAGGCAGCGATAGCGTCATCGTACTGACCAAGCTCTCGCCTGACGTTTGCCAGCATATACCTTGCAAACCATACATATTCCTGGTCTTTAGCTGAAAGCTCTGGCTCCAATAGCTTTGCTTGCTCAAAGGCCTTGGTGGCGGCGTTGTATCGACCAGAGTGGTGGTAGCTCTCGGCAAGACCGACCCATGAGTGATAATCTGTTGGCTTGAGTCGAAGCGCTGCTTGGAAGGACACAATACTTTTGCTGTATTGCTGTTTGTTGACCTGAACCGAACCCAATGCCGCATATGGCCAGCTAAACCCTCGGCGTTTTGACCCAGGGGAAGGCCTAGCCTTGCCGGAGTCAACCACTCGCTGCGCAATTGCTTCGACAAGGTCCCATTCCTTCGAGTCAGCAAAGCCCCTAGCAAGACGCTCGGCGGCTTCAATCTCAGAGGTTGACAGTTCAAAAGCCTTGTGAAAGCATCTACGAGCTCTGATCTTATCTTTCTTGTAGTCTGCGTAGTAGAAACCAAGAATGGTATATGCTGGAGCGAAGTTCATATTCGCCTGAATGGAAGCAAAGAGGCTAGCATAAGCACCACTGCGATCTTTGCGGGCAGCTGGGGACGGATCAAGCTCCCACTGGCAGTAACCAATGCGGTAAAGAAGCTCAGATTTGAACTCTCTGTTGTCCGGTTGAGCTTCTTTTAGATCCTCAAGCGTAGCCTGAAGACTGGCTAGGCCACCTTCAAGGTCACCATGCAATGCCTCACACCAAGCAAGCTCTCCACGAATCTTGAGGTTAGAAGAATCGCGTGCAAGTGATCGCCGCAGGAAGTTGACAGCTTCTGCGTAGTCCTGATCCTCTTTCAAAATCAGACCAATCCCAAGTAGGCAATTGGACGAGGTTGGGTTCCGTTCAAGGATGCCCTCAAAGATTTTTTTCGCATCTGCGTGATACCGGGGGGATTGATAATAAATCATGGCATTGGCAAGTGCGTTGTTCAAGGCATCAATGGTGTTGGGGATCTTGACTCCACTGTACTTTATCAAGTTCTCGATATACAGTAGCCCCTTACGAGCAACATTGACCACGCTCTCATACTCTTCGAAAGAGAGGTAGACATCTGCCATTATGCGGTGGGCAAGAATTGAATCGCGAGCGGAATCCAAGCCCTCGACCATAAGTACGAGAGGGTCTTGGGTAACAGTTGCATCGTCATCGTTTTCATTATCGGGTTGATTGGCTGTGATTTCCTTGCCATCCTTGCCTTTTGTTTCGTCCGTGGGCTCCTTGGGAAATGGCGATAGTTCGCTCAATAAGAATCCTTTGAGAACCTGGGAGAGCCCAGATTCTGGAAAGAACTCAATGTACTCGCGCAGATGGCCAACGTCATACTGGAAGAGATCCTGAACATCTTGCCACCCCAGAAAAACTTTCCATGCAGGTTCGAACGGATGTTTTATGATTACCATGTCATGTGCTGCCTTAAAAACGGCTGCTCTCTTCGCCCCCTTCTCGGCGTCAGGCAGAACTCCGAGTTCCTCATATGCACGCTGAAACAACTTCTCCTCGTATTGACGGCGTACTGTATCGTCGTTGGTCCAATCAATCATTCCTTGGTAAAATTGGTCCAATCGGCTCTTGTTCGCTGCTTCCCTCCGAACTTCCTGGGTGACTTGTTCGATGCGAGCACCAAGACGCGTTCGGCGCTCTCCAATCTCACGATTGATAAACTCCCTTTCTTGACGCTCGGTAATCTCGATCAATCGCTGGTATGTTTGGGATGGACGGGGCAACCGCCCCTCAAGAAAATCGTACAGGGGTGAGCCCGGTATCTGAAGTTCCAATGCATGCTTGTGTTGAGAGGTCCCTCTGTTCTTCATCGACTTCGTGTATTTGTTAATCAGATCTTGGCAGCGTTCTTGCTCGTCGCTAGAAGTCATCAGCACTATGTCTTTCGTACACAGGAATTAAGAAGGAATCAATGCATACTTGTCGGAGAATATCTTTCCGAGAGCAATGACTGCCTTGTGATAACCATCATCGTTGCAGTCACCCTGTTTCTCATACAGGGAGATCAAGCCCTGCCAAGCCGTTTTATCGTTGGGGTTGATACTGGTCGCAGCGGAATAAGCGTCCTCCGCTTCATTATTCTTATTCAATCGATCGCTGGCGAGACCGAGGAAGACATTCCTAGAAAAAAATAACAAACTGAGTTAGTCATGTTTCATGAAGGATCAGGGATTGTCATACGCGTGGTAATTATTCGGCTCGCTCTTGATAAGCTCCTTGGCCTTTTCAGCAGCAGTTTGGTAATCTTTCGATTCCAAAGCTGCTCGCACGGCTTTCAATGCCGCTTTGCTCGACATTATTCCCGTTGTGCAGAGACAGCGGGGAGAATCTGTCGTGGTGGAGCAAAGCGGTCGGCTAGCTCGCGATACGTCACTTCTTATCGTTATCAAAGGTGGACACAGGTGATCTTCGAGTTGGCAATGAGCTCACTGTTGGGTTGGACGTCTGGATTGACAGATAAAAGAAAGAATCACTTTGAAGATATCACAAGAGACGTGCTGAACACAACTTGAGGAGTCAAAGTCTTCTGCGAGGTTTCTCGAAGTGGTCAGAATCACGTGTTCTGGTGACTTGCACGCAAGTATCGGGCAAGCTTGGCACTTGTGACCTTGGTGAAAGGTTACCAAGATTCGCTCGCACGCATTTCAATATTGCTAGTCGAGTTGAATCGGAAAGCGTTACCTATTTTCAGACCCACCGGCTGTGACCTTTCTATACTTCGTTTCTTCAACTTGCCCACCCTTGAACTCCCGCGTGACACTACGACCTCATTCAACTCGACCTTCGGTAGAACTAGAGCAACAATGGCCCCTCTACATCTGAGAGTCGAGGGACAGACCTTTCGAGACCCTCACAATCGGGAGGTTACGCTAAGAGGGATAAACCTTGCGGCTGATGCGAAGTACCCAAAGACACCCGACATCCCCTCATACATTGCCGAGAAGTTCTTTGACGGGGACAATGTCTCATTTGTTGGACGTCCCTTTCCACTGGAAGATGCCGATATTCATTTCAAACGGCTTCGGAAATGGGGTTATAACACTATCAGGTACATCTTTACCTGGGAAGCCATTGAGCATGCGGGACCGGGAGTTTACGACCATGAGTGGGTTGCATACACCATAGAAGTTCTCCGGATAGCTAAGCAATACGATTTCTGGGTCTTTATGGACCCGCATCAGGATGTGGTGAGTATATATGATCACCCGGGTAATAGCTTAATAGCTTACAACTTCATGCTAACCCCTTCTTAGTGGTCTAGGTTCTCGGGAGGATCTGGGGCACCGATGTGGACGCTCTATGCAGCGGGACTAAACCCTAAAAGCTTCAGAGACACGGAAGCCGCCTTGGTACAAAACACATACGATGTCCCCGCCGAGTTCCCCAAGATGATCTGGAGCACAAATTATACTAGACTGGTTTGTCAAACCATGTTTACCTTGTTTTGGGCTGGGCGGGACTTCGCTCCTAAGGCAATCATCGATGGGATGAACATCCAAGATTATCTCCAGAACCACTTTATTGATGCATGTGCATACTTAGCACGAAGAATTCATGAAGCGGGTGATCTTGATGGCGAAGTGATCATTGGCTGGGAAAGCATGAATGAGCCTCATCGTGGTATCATTGGTTTTCAAGACATTTCAGTAATTCCGCCGGAGCAGCAACTTCAACTTGGGACTTCACCAACCGCATTCCAAGCAATGCTCACCGGCTCAGGCAAGGCTTGCGAACAGACAACATGGGCATTTGGAAATTTCGGTCCCTACAAGACTGGCACAAACCTTGTAGACCCGGCAGGCGAGATAGCCTGGTTGCCAACTGACTACGATGATAGCAAATATGGCTGGCAACGAGACCCTGGGTGGAAACTTGGAGAGTGCATCTGGGCTCAGCATGGAGTTTGGGATCCGGCCACAGACACCCTTCTACGGAAAGATTACTTCTCAAAGAACCCTCAGACGGGTGAGCCACTTGACTATGACAGATTTACCAACACATATTTCTTGAATCATTACCGAGTATACAAAAATGCCATTCGAGGAATCTGGCCGGACGCAATAATGTTCTGCCAGCCACCTGTGATGGAGGTACCGCCAGATCTTAACGGCACTGCTGATGACGACCCTAATATGGTCCATGCGGTTCATTTCTATGATGGATTAACTCTTTTGACAAAACATTGGTAAGCTTTGGTCGAGGTACTTCAATTGGATGTCGGCAGTACTGACTCCTGTAGGAACCGACTCTACAATGTGGATGTTATTGGTGTTCTCCGGGGCAAGTACCTCACCCCTGCCTTTGCGCTCAAAGTTGGCGAGACGGCCATTCGCAACTGTTTGCGTGACCAGCTCAAGTTCCTCCGCGATGAAAGCCGAATTTACATGGGCAGTCATCCGGTGGTATTTACGGAGATTGGGATTCCATATGACATGGACGACAAAAATGCATACAAGACTGGAGACTATAGTAGCCAAACCAGCGCTATGGATGCAAATCATTTTGCACTGGAGGGCAGTACTTCCAATGGCTTTACTCTGTGGGTTTATGTCACGCAAGTAGGTGTATTTGCCCCTCAGAACATGAACGGTACTGACACGGCGTAGAACGACCACGAATGGGGTGATCACTGGAATGGGGAGGACCTGTCTATATATTCTCGCGACGATCTCGAACTGCCAGCAGGATCCACCACCTGCCCACTTGACACCCATTCCCCGGCCTACTCCGAAAGTCAGAGTAGCTCAACAGAGCCAAATATTGGACCTCGTGATCTCAAAGGTGCTTTGTCAACTCCCTCGATCTCCAGTGACCTCTCCCAGTCATCCTTACGACAGCAAGGCTATCGTGCCGCAGAGGCATATATCCGCCCGAGTCCAACATACGTGAGCGGAAAGTTGGATAGTCATGTTTTCGATCTCAGGAATTGTGCCTTTACTCTATCGCTGACGGCTGAAGGGGCAACCGCCACGACTGCCCCGACCGAAATATATCTTCCCGAGTTCCATTTCCCAGGGAGTAACATCGTGGTTGCAGTCAGCGGCGGCAAGTGGGACATTGACGTCCAGGACATCCAGGGTGTCAAGCTACAACGCCTGCGATGGTGGCATGCCGAAGGACAACAGGATATCAAGATTGAGGGACTTAAGCGCAAACCTGGGGAGTTTGCTAATCCTGGAGGCCAAGATGTCAGCTATCTGGAACAATGCCAGAAGGGCCAGTGTGTCATAATGTGAAATTGCTAGTTGTATCTCGAGAGTTGAAGTTCCTATTTGCCAATTTGAAATCAATTGCTTCATTATATTGTATTAATTTCTACTGCCTCTTCAGATCCAAGGGCATAAAATGGTCCTCCGACCGATATTGAAGCTCACTCAAAAGTGTACATATATGTGACAGGTCTGTCGGAGTATACAACGAGCGGGTATGGGAGATAAGATAAACAATGATGAGGGGCATAGCTCTAGCTATGATGACACCAAAATCACGTAGATCAGCATATATTATTAGCAAGGAAACCAAAAAATATCGTACGAGTTGTTACCTAGCTGATCCTCTTTAACATTGAAATACCTCCATCGAGTCATCTATCCAGTGCGCAAAGGTGGAGGAAGAGCGGACTCAGCGGAGCATCAACGGTGAGCGGTGTGCCCTTGTTGATCTTCAGGGAAAATTCTCAGCCGACAAGTCACCAATTGTCTTCTGCGAGTCTTCCATTTCGCGACCTTACTTCGCCAACTACGTGCATTGCAAATATATCGATTCATAACTTCGAGTCCGGTCCTCAACCTCGAACCACCCTACCCCCGGAAAGAGCGAGTGGCGCGTGTGGATGGCCATTGCGGTGTCCGACTGCTAAACTAATACCGGACGAGTCTTACCTATCTTCTCTGAGCTATGAGACGCGGCCTACTACATTAGGACGGGATTGAGACTTAATTTTTTTGTTCATCAAATACTTCTACAACGCGTCGACAAGATGGCTGCGGAGGAGTTGTCGGAGGGCGGCATGGCCGACATAATCCGTGCCCTGCAACTCATTCACAACCCTGCATCGTCAAACGATATACGAAAGGAGGCTTCGCAGTTCGTGGAGAACCTTAAAGCGTCTGATTCCGCGGCGCGAAATGGCTTCCTTTTGGCTTCTCGTATGGAGTATGAGCCCGTTGTCCGATACTTCGGTCTGACTCTCCTCGATCACGTTCTTCGCCAATACAACTTCACCAATCCCGAAGAAGCCAAGACCTTACGCATGATGATTTTGCAACTCGCCGAGAACGTCCGCCCCGAAGACCCTGCCTATTTCCGAAATAAGATCTCCCAGCTGTGGGCCGAGGCTGCTAAGAAGACCTGGGGGCTGGATTGGATGGATATGGATGCCAACATGGTTCAGTTCTGGGGTGCATCTCTCGTTCATAAAGAGCTTATCCTCGCTGTTCTTGAGACTCTTTCCGAGGATGTCTTTTTCCGAGAAGACATTGCCTCGTCACTACGGGGAGGTGAGCTCAATCGGTCGCTCATCGAGATCTTTACCCCTGCAGGCATCGTAGAGCAAATCACTGGGGATAAAACTAGCCCCACCATTCCACGTTGTGGTGAGGAGGGCTGGCTCGTTCGAATCGGCGAATTTCTTGACAATTGCGTCCAGAATGTCTCTAGCTCCAAACAGGCCCGTGATGCGGCCATAAAGGCTCTGGCCACTTTGAGATCTGCCTTGTCATGGTCCGTCTATAAAGCTGTCATTGCCTCCCAGGTTGTTCCCAGCATTTTCCGGGCTTTGCCTTGTCAAGATGAGCAGGTGGTTCTCTCTGCAATCGAAGCACTTCATGCACTTTATGGAAGGACCAACATCGGAACCGAAGACTCCCACGAGCTAGTATGTCTGATTTTTGAGTCAGAATACCTTGTTGTTCTTCGGGGGCTTTACGAATGGTCAATCGTCGGACCGGATGACGTTGATGATCCCAAATATCTTATCTCTAAAAAGCTCTCTGAGATGGTCTCATATATTGCAGGATGCCTGGAAGATGCCAAGTTCTTGGCCTCTACCATGGACCGTTTGAATCTGCCGCCATTCCTGCAATTCATGGTCAACATCATGCAACACCAGAGCCTGACGGTCTCCATACCTTGCTTGCATCTTTGGTCCAGACTGTTACAGCACTCAAAAATCAGTAACATGGACTTTGTGCAAGAACAAACTCCCCAGTTCTTGAACATTTGTACCCAGAGGCTTCTTCGTTGGGAGTGTCTCCCGACTGAATCCGATGATCCCACGGTGCAGTTCTTACTCGAGGACATTGATACAGTTCCCGAGCGACATGCATTTGTTGGAAATTACCGCCGTTACTGTTCCTCGATCATCGAAATTATCACCTTCAAGCGGCCCCAAGAAGCGGTGCGTGAAATTCTGGCCCGGGTGGACACCAATCTCGACAACTTGTATAGCGGCGTTGAGCCATTCAGCAGTGAGTGTCAACAATCTAATGAACTATGGACTTTGCGACTCATTAATTTTACAGTGGAAACTTTCACCAAATCCTCGATTCCTCTTATGCGAGCGGATGCTCAGTTCGCAGTGGTAGAGGCTGTCATCAAGGGCTACAACAAGTGGGTTTCGGCTCACGGAAAAGCACCACAACGTGATGTAAGAGGATGAAGCGCAGAATGAATCATCGGTTGCTAATTCTGACAGGAGTCTAAACGAATGGAATTAGAACATGCGGTGGAAAACTGGGCTTCAAGTCTGATGCTAAGGTCTTTTGAGGTATGTCATATTTCCCAAACCCAAGGGATTTTTCAACTCATCTGTTCATATAGGATCCGGTCCTTAAACAAAGAGTCATCAAATTGGCTGTCGACATCTCTTCAAGGGCTTTGGACAATCATCCAGGATTTGCGCTCAAGGTTCTGGAACACATTCTAATGTCACGCCTACCAGATCATTCTGAATACCCATTGTATTCCGAGGCTGTCAAAGAACTTCATGGATTGGCAAGCTCTGAACTTCGTCGGTTGGCTATGCGTTATGCAGACTATTTCTACGTACGTCATGTTCCACATCCCGATCGTCCAGTACTCTCTAACCTTGCCCACTGCAGACCTTCTATGACCTTCTCGAGCCAAAGATCAAAGAAATCACGCTGGCTAACCGTGTCGATGATAAATTGCAAATGGAATTGACTTCTATCTTGCTCATCATTATGTAACTCCTCTTCCCCTTCCTGTTGTCTATCTAAAATTGATTCATACTGACTCAATACAGGCAACGCGCAATCAATGCGGATCCTTATCTGCGCCAAAACCGACTTGAAGCCTTCCTCCAACCCATCCGAGAGTCATGGCAAGACGACCAATTTCGCCAGAGTAGCTCCACTTTCCCCGGGTTTTGCAATATGCTTGGACTGGAAAATGTCGGTCCATACATGCAATCTAAACAAGCACAGAAACTGGCAGACTGGTCCGAGGTTGCACTGGATAATGAAGGAAGGTTAGTCCAAGAAGAGATGACCAGAAAGTTCCAGGTAAGAAGCACAAATCTCATTCCCCGTGCTAGGGCCAATCTGATTCATTCTATTCTAGCTGTTGCCATTGCGTGGCACTAAGACTATGTTGGCCGTTTCCACAGATCGAGTCAAAAAATCTGCGCCAGCCTATGTGATCGCCTGCGATATGTGGCACGAATTGATCCCTCTCATTCTTCCCACTCTGCTGCAGCTTGTCAGGTAATTATTTATGCTAACGCTGACTCATGCCACCAAGCTAACTTTTAATTTTAAGACACGCCCATGCCTTCCACAATCCTGCCAATTGGAATATGGTCGAAGGCATGCAACCGGTAGTCGAACGTATCCTCACAGATCGATTTTGGCAGGCTGGTATTTCTATCGGTAGCCGCGACGAGTTCTACGCCAGAATCACAACATCAAAGTCTACACTTGAAGGGTTTGCATCATCGGTTCGAGGAAAAGTCAGAGCTGTCCGCGAAGCATGCTACTCCATGCTGTTCAGCATGAGCAGGATGCGAGAGCACTTCTATGGATTCGCCGAACTCCCAGGACCCCTATCTGAAGCATTGTTTGTTGACTCACCGCATCTATCCTCCCACCAGTTCTCAGTTCTTCTCAACATCTCGCGTTGTCTGATTGACGACTGCCCTGTGCAATTCCGCAGCCAATTCTTGCCTCCTATGCTATCGGCTTTGTTCACGAATATTGATCGTAAAGTCACCACAGAATGGGAAATCATTGAACAACGCAGGAATGGAATTTCGGACGGAGATCTCACTACGGAGATGAAGTCCGAAAGTGTCCTTCGCCAGTTGACTTACTCTGCTGTGATCATGGTAGCCAGTCTATTCGATCCACAGAGAGGTGGTAAACACTCCCTGACCCGCCAGCTACGCATAGAGATAAACGACCCGATACTGACGGAATGTGACTTCTCAGACCCAGATGGGGCTGAATCGGATCCTAGCGCACCCCTGCCGACACCGAACCTCTCTGATTCTATCCGCCATTTCGTCCTCTCCTCCCCCCAGATCTTTGAGCCAGTCATGCTCTTCTGTACGCATGCTCTTCGCATGCGCGATACGCGTAGCGGTAGCATTATCACCCGCGTCATTCGGTCAATCTTGCAAGACTTTGTGCCCACGAACGATACCCAGGACACCCAAACCATCGCGACCATCCGCGAGTTCATATGTACTGATGTCCTCACAGCATGCATTTCATCCGTACATGAATCATACTTTGTCGATATGCAAAAGGACCTGGCTCAGCTAATTGCATCAATTTGGTGTCTCTATAGCTTCTGCAGCGAGACCCCTCGTGCTGTTTTCCTGACTTTGCCAGGAATTAGCGCAGCGAAAGTGATCAATACGGAAAAAGCACTTCATCTCACTACCTCACCAAGGCTGCAGCGCGGATTAGTCTTGGATCTTCTTGAGCCCTTGCGTGGCATCAGTATTGCCGAGCAAGGGAAGATGCTGGGTTCTCGCGAGGAACGTCGTAAGGCTCGTTCAGCATTGCAGGAGAGGTACATGACCAATGAGATGGAGACTCAGCAGCAGAACCACCGTGTCGATATTAACGATGGTCCCGATCTTGGTGGTGTTGCTGATCTATTCGGATAGGCCAAACATCATCTGCTTTTTGGGCTGCGAAAGGTTGGGATATGCTGTGGTGCTGTTGGGCCTGTTAATCTTCATTCTACACGATGAATGGTCCCTCTCTAT